GGGAGATGAGAGAGATAGGGAGGGGGAGGAGGAGAAGGGAGGGGGAGGAGGGGGAGGAAGGATGAGTAGTTGTAGTAGCAGCAGTTGATGATATTGTTGTTGCGGCTGTAGCACTAGTAGTAGTGGTAACGGTAGTAGTAGTCCAAGTAAGTAGAACTGGCTTGTGGCAGCCAAGCGTTCATAGCGACGTTGCTTTTTGATCCTCCTTTAATGTCTTCTCTCCCTATCCTTGAGACGCAGAAGTCTCAAAAAGTTGGATGGTTCAGCACATCCAGGAAACCTATCGCTGGACCGGCCCAGATATGGTTCCAGAAGCGGCTCGGGAAGCTGCGCATGCGCCAGAAGCAGAGAAGCACCACGTACGGGCGCCGGCTCAGGCGTCCGGCCCAAAGCCGCTCCAGAATCGGCCCAGAACAGCTTCCCGGGCGCCGCAAGCAGAAATTCAGCATTTTCGAAAGAAAAATGTGTATTGGAATGGCCTCTTTTCGGCGCGATCGGAACTGCCCGGGCGTCCGGCCCGGGAGCCGGGCCGGGTGCCGGCCGGGCCGGGTGCCGGCCCGAGCTCCGGAATCGGCCCAGACGGCCGATCGGGCGCCGGAAGCAGAAATTCAGCATTTTCGAAAGAAAAACGTGTATTGGAATGGCCTTTTTTCGGCGCCGCCTCGGAACTCGATTTTCCGGCGCCCGGGCGCCGGCTCGGGCGCCGACCCGGGCGTCCGGCCCGGGAGCCGGGCCGGGTGCCGGCCCAGGCTCCGGGAATCGGCCCGGACGGCCTCCGGGCGCCGAAGCAGAAAATTTTCAGAAAAAAAAAAAAAAAAAAAAAAATGTATGGAATTTTCGGCGCCGCCTCGAAACTCGATTTTCTGGCGCCCGGGCGCCGGCTCGGGCGCCGACCCGGGCGTCCGGCCCGGGAGCCGGGCCGGGTGCCGGCCCGAGCTCCGGAATCGGCCCGGACGGCCTCCCTCCCGGGCGCCGGAAGCAGAAATTCAGCATTTTCGAAAGAAAAATGTGTATTGGAATGGCCTTTTTTCGGCGCCGCCTCGGAACTCGATTTTCCGGCGCCCGGGCGCCGGCTCGGGCGCCGACCCGGGCGTCCGGCCCGGGAGCCGCTCTCGGCGGCGAGCAAGAGCACCGAGCCCGAGTAAAAAAGGAGGAAGTCTCGAGCCGGAGCGTTGTTGTTGTTGGGGGGCCGGTTTTGGCGGAACCCCAAAACGCCTGAGCGTGAGCCTCAATTTCAGAGGAAATGCGGCCGGCGCCTCGGCGAGAGCGCCAGGGCGAATATAGGGGGTCCAACAATAATAATTGTTTAGTAATTAAGGTTCAACAACAACAACAACAACAACAACAACAACAACAACAACAACAACAACAACAACAACAACAACAACAACAACAACAACAACAACAACAATTACTAGCACGTGGGGACACACCGTTCTCACCAGTGCCAGGGTTTTCATAGGAGGCGGGCAATACCCCCACTTTGTGGGGGGGCCGGTTCAAGCTCTACCAAATTTCCAAACGACTCTTCGCCACCACCCACACCCAGCTTCCCGCCCTATGACGTTCGGACACTTCACTTCGTGGCATGCGGACGACCGTGGCTACTATTCAGGGCCCCGCGGCCGACGACGACGGCGTGCGCGCGCGAAGAAAAAACGAATGTGTCCCGCATGGTATTATTTGACAGGGATGATGGCCCTGGCAGGTGCGCAACCGTTGTTGCAGAAGTTCGAAAAAGTTGCTCGCAAAAGCCCGTTTGACAGAAATGTTTAAAAAGTGTTGGGTTTCCTACGAATCCGCAAGAGCGCGCGGGATGAAATTTTGACAATTTTTTTTGAAAAACCATTGGTTTTTGATGTTTTTATGTTAAAATCGCTACGAAAACTAAGGTTTTGGAAGGATTTCGTCTTGCGCGCGCGAATGTCCACTTTACCTTATTTTTTGCAAGGGATTCTTGAAGTTTGGTTATGTTAGAACAAGAAATGTCCACTTTAGCTTATTTTTTGCAAGGGGAAACCGATCGTAACAACACAACCGGATCCGGACTCCCCCGTTTTGCCTGAGACTTCCTCACGAAAATGATGGAAATGAGGCTGCGGCCTAGGCGCGGCGGGGGGGTCGTGCACCAGGGGTCCCAACAATAATTATTCTTTAGAAGTAATAATGTTCAACAACCACAACAACAACCACAACAACAACCACAACAACCACAACAACCACAACAACCACAACAACCACAACAACCACAACAACCACCACAACCACCACAACCACCAAAACCACCACAACAACAGCAACCACCACAACCACCACAACAACAGCAACAGCAACAGCAACAGCAACAGCAACAGCAGCAGCAACAACAACAACAACAGAGGCCAGGACTGGGAGGCTCGGGTCGTCGGAGATCTGAGCCGACCGCCCCCCAGGGGCAGTTTTGCGCCCCGACCCGTGCCTGAGTTGCCCTGGTTTCGGGTCCGGCTCTACCCTTGTCGATTGCGTGGCAGACGAATGAGCGCGGCATCATTTCGCAGCAGAGATTTGCGCTTGACGGTCGCGCTGTGCAGTGACCTTCTTGCCTTGGCAACGCATGGTTTCAGCTGCCCGCGCGCCAACAGCGGACGGCTTCTCGCTCGCTCGCTCGCTCGCTCGCCCGGTCTTGACGGTCCAGAGGAATGAACCCAACCTTCGAATGCCGATAACAAAAACAACAAAAACGGGCATGGGAAAATCAGGTCGTCGGAGCTCTGGGCTCATCGCTCCCCAGTATAGTCCGAAACGCTCGAGGCGGCGGCCTCGGCAACGCAGAGGCTCCTTGACCTGGATTTGAGGAACGGCCCGAAAACCCGAGGCCCTCTACGCCACGAAAACATATACACAGACATCCTCCGACGAACTTTGCATGTACCTTCAGGGAGGGCGGCGGTGTAGAATGTCGCTGGCTCCCAGCGGCGACCTGTACACCGCCACCCTCCCCCAGGGCCCAGGAACAGCGCAGTGGAGGGTGTCTGTGCAGATGTTTCTGTGGCGGACCCTCCTGGGTCCAACGCGGCCCCTACCTTGGCACCCTGACTGTGCGACGCGCCCGAGGCCCGCGACAGTCGGCGGGCGCTGCCGTGCGGCGCAGCCGAGATCCCCCCCCCATGCGTAGGAAAAAGGAAAGGCGACACCAACACCAACAGGGCGAGGAGATGCGCGGAGGCAAGGGAGGTCTGCCCGGTGGTGTGGCCCCCCCCTCTCGCTCGAGGCATCCTCAGCATCTCGCTCGGGGAGGCATCGTGGACCTCCTCGCTGGAGGTGGGCCCCCTGGTGGTGCTGGTATCCCAGACCCCCCACGTCATGAATTTTTCATGACGTCGACCCCCAGCAGTCTGGACCCATCCCCCAGGACCGGTTTCTCGTCCTGAGTCGTTTTTTGACGGTCCCGAGGGCCGGTAAGGCCCCCCAGAGGCCGAAAATGGCGAAAAACCTCCCGTCGTGATTTTTGTCATAACTCGAGGGGGTCTGGGATCGCTTCTCCTCCCTGCCCCCCGTGCGGGCGCGCGCCCGCGAGCGCGCCTGCGCGGCCGCTGCCAGGCAGCATGGACAACCCACGGCCTGGGGGGCTCGAGCGGCCGGCCGGCGGCCCTGGGCGCGGCCCTGGGCGCGGCTCCGGGGGGGCTCGGCTCGGGCCAGACCGCGGCGCCGGCGGTGGTCGCCGTCGTCGCCGTCGTCGTCGTCGTCGCCGTCGTCGTCGTCGTCGCCGTCGTCGTCGTCGTCGTCGCCGTCGTCGTCGCCGCCGTCGTCGTCGTCGCCGTCGTCGTCGCCGTCGTCGTCGTCCGAGGGCCCAGAACTGGCGGGTCAGAGTCTGGCACCGACGCCAATATCGGCGGTTGCCTGGCCCGAGGGAAGATGATCCCGATCTCGGTGACGGTGGTAATACTCGGGCTTCTCAGGTGGCCGAGCGTTTGCCGCCAACACCAAAAGCCAGGATCGCCTTCCCCAGCCAGAGACACCCACCCTGTCGTGGTGTTGGTGCCAATCTCCAGGCCTCCAACAAGCGCACGGTCCGTCGCCGGACGATTTGGGGGGCCCTGGAGGCCCCAGTCACCCGAGGCGTCCTCGGAGAACGACCCGAGTTCCAAAATCGTGCGGTCACCCCGAATCTCCACTTGGCTCACCACACCTGGCGGGATGAGGGGGGATGAGAGAGGGAGAGAGGGAGAGGCGGGGGAGAGGAGCCTGCGCTGGTCCAGGAAGGAGGAGGAAGAGGAGGAGGAGGCGGAGGCGGAGGAGGAAGAGGAGGAGGAAGAGGAGGAGGAGGAGGGAAAGGAGAAGGAGTAAGGAGGGCGCCCCCCCAGGGGGCCTGCAAGCCAGCTGCTACTCCCGCTACGTCCCTGCTGCTGCTTCCTTCTTCTGCTGCTGCTGTTTGCTTGCTAGCGTCCAAAATTGGACCAAACACAGGACAGAACAGGAGCCCAGAGTGCGCCGAAGCCTCCCCGACGAGTCTGAACCCCCTCCTCCTCCTCCTCCTCCTCCGCCTCCTCCTCCTCTTCCTCCTCCTCCTCCTCCTCCTCTTCCTCCTCCCCCTCCTCCTCCTCTTGCCCCTCCTCCCCTCTTCCTCCTCCTCCTCCTCCTCCTCCTCCTCCTCCTCGACGGCGACGGTGGAGGCCTCGGCCAACGACGACGACGACGACGACGACGACGACGACGACGACGACCACGACGACGACCACGACGACGACGACGACGACGACGACGACGACGACGACGACGACGACGACGACGACGACGACGACGACGACGGCGACGACGACGACGGCGACGACGACGAAGAAACCGACGACGACGACGACCACGACGACAAAGACGACGACGACGACCACCACGACGACGACAACGACCACGACGACGACGACGACGACGACGACGACCGACGACAGGTGACACGACCAGCGACGACGACGACGACGACAGCGAGAACGCGGCGGCACGTCGCGCGGGCAACGCCGCCTCGCCGAGCTGTCTGCGGGCGCGGCGCGCCGCGCACCGTGCGCGCGCGCCGCGCGCGCACGTTCGGGCGGCTGGCCGTGCGGAGCAGCGCCGGGCGGGCCCCTGGGGTTCGCGGGGCGCGCCACGACTGCTGCTGCTGCTGCTGCTGCTGCTGCTGCTGCTGCTGCTGCTGCTGCTGCGGGTGCGGATCCTGGTCACCACCACCACCACCACCACGACCACCACCATCATCATCATCATCATCATCATCATCATCATCATCATCATCATCATCAGCAGCAGCATCATCATAATCAGCATCATCATCAGCAGCAGCATCAGCATCAGCATCATCAGCAGCATCAGCATCAGCAGCAACAGCAATCATCATCATCATCATCATCATCATCATCATCATCATCATCATCATCATCATCATCATCATCATCATCATCATCATCATCATCCATCATCATCAGCAGCATCATCATCATCATCATCATCATCATCATCATCATCATCATCATCATCATCATCATCATCATCATCATCATCATCATCATCATCATCATCATCATCATCATCATCATCATCATCATCATCATCATCATCATCGTCGTCGACATCGTCGTCGTCGTCGTCGTCGTCGGTATTCCAGGTTCGAATCCAGCGTCCGCCGAATGAGGGCCTCGAGGGCGCCTCGTGCTGGGTGCTGCCTCTGGGCGGTCGCCCCGTGCACGCCGATGCCTCGTGGGCGCCTCGTGCGACGACGTGGCCTACACCACATGGCTTGCACCACGTAGCGCACACAACATACCTGTCACCGTGTAGCTTACACCACATGGCTTACACCACATATATATATATATATATATATATATTGCACCAAATAGCGGGCAAGGTATAGCTTGCACTACACAAGTTGCACTACGCTGCTTGCACCACACAGCCTACCTAAACTGCTTGCACCACATGGCCTACGCATCAAGAGTGCAAGGACTCGCTGCTTCGGGGTCCACGCTGGCAAACAATCAGAAGTACGCCGTTTTCTTCGGCGCGCCGAAGAGGGAGCCAGAACGAGGGAGGTAGCGCATCATAGTCAGACGCAGGTGCGCGAACAATGGGGGTCCACGGAACGCACCGAAAGAAGCAGAGGGGACCATGAAATCTGGGAGGTGTCGTGGCCCCAGCCATGATATCCACACACACACGCACATACACGCACATACACGCACACACACACACACACACACACATGCACGCACGCACACGCGCACACACACGCACACACACGCACGCACACGCACACGCACACGCACACGCACGCACGCACGCACGCACGCACGCACGCACGCACGCACGCGCACACGTGCGCACATATGCGCACGCAGTCCTCAAACCCCCCCCCCTTCGACGCCTGGTGGCTTCGGGGTCCCAGGCCCTGGCCTCCCGCGGCCGACCTCGGCACGAGCCTCGGGCGCCCGGGGAGCAGGCCTCGAGGCGCGGCGCGGGACTGCTCGGAGCACCCTCGAGGCGAGCAGGCCTCCAGGCAGGGCTGCACCTGAGCGCTGTCGTTTTAGTTGGCTTCTGTTCTCGCTATGCTTTTTTTCGTTTTCCTCCGCCTGGTTTCCCTCCGCCTCCCTGCCAAGACGAAGGACCAAGCACGGCCGGAGTCCAGCAAGACGGCGCTCTCATCAGGTCCGGCCCTGGGCCTGCCGGGAGCCCCCCCCCGTGGACGCCCCAGCTATCTCCGATGCTCGATTCCAGCCTCCCCGCCCCCTCCAGGGGGGAACGCTGGTGGGGAGCTGGCTCAAGTCGGCGGCGAGCGAGGGGGGGAAGTGAGAAGGAGGAAGGCCTTCTCAGGAGGCCGCGGGACTTCTCAGAAGTCCTCGCGCCTTCTCGGGAGCTTCCTGTGCCCGTCGGGGAAGGCTTCGAAAACTTCTCAGAAGGCTGGGGGCCTTATGGGCCTTCTGAGAAGGCCTTCTCCTTCTCGGTTCCCCCACGGGCTCGCCGCCGCTCAAGGGGGGGGGGGAAGCAAGGACCTGGGACCGGCGATGCATCGCCGATGGATCGGCGACAGGCCCCCCATAGCGAAACCAGGCGGTCCTGGGCGGGAAGGGGCTGCTGGGCCCCCATCGGCGATCGGTGGGCGATGGGGGGTCGGAACGTCCCTCCGAAGAGCTGCCAATTGTCACGAAGAGCTGCCAATTGTGCACTCTTCTGCCCACGCGTCCTTCCGGAGGCTCGGCTCAGCCATGCCATGCCAACGTCCCTCCCGTGAGCCCATCCCCGCCAGGGATCCTCGTCGTCTGGTTTGGGGGTCACAGTTCGGCTTTCCAGCGGCGTCTCGGGACGATCGGGGCACCCATGGAGCGCTCTCGGCGAGGCACCGCCGCAGGCAGGCATCCCGAGGCTGAGAAGCCGCAGACAACCGACGAGCACATCCGAAAACCTCGAACCTCGAACCTGGAGAACATCCCTTCGGAGGAGGAAAAGGTACCCATACTGCTACCCTTCCCTCGTTCTCCCTTTTGGGGCCTCCAGGGAGGCCCTCGTCGCCACCGCTGGATTCGCCTCGAAATCCTGGTCAGAGCGCACCCTGGGAGAGGTCTGGGGAGTAGCGGTATCGATAGCTTTTGGTTTCCCCATCCCTAGGAGGTCTCCCAGGTAGGGTCCGAGCAGATGGCGTCGGAGGATCGCGCCGCATCGCCAGCGCATCATCACCACTGCCTCGTCGATGCATAGGCGATGTATCGGCGCCATCGGCGTAGAGAAATTCTGGCGCAACATCGAGCCGAGCGGGGGGGGGAGTGAGAAGGACAAGGCCTTCTCAGAAGGCCCGGAAGTCCCCCGGCCTTCTGAGAAGATTTCGAGACCTTCCCCAAAAAGACACAGAGAACGTCTCTCGGAAGGCTCGGAGGGCTTCTGAGAAGTCCCGCCGCCCTCTGAGAGGGCCTTCTCCTTCCTGCTTTCCCTCAGGGCGCGCCGCCGAATCTGGTTTGGGGGTCATAGCTCGGGTCTCCGGCGGTCAATTCGGGACGTTCCGGGCATCCCAAGAACGCCCTCGGCGAGGCGCAGCTGCTGGCAAGCACCCCCCGGGCTGGAAGAGCGCCGAGAAGCGACGCAGGCGCCCGAACACTTTGAACCTCGAACCCGATTCGGGCTTGGGGGGTCCTGACTCGGGTCTCCGGCGGTCCATTCGGGACGGGGCATCCCAAGAACGCCCTCGGCGAGGCGCAGCTGCTGGCAAGCACCCCCGGGGCTGGAAGAGCGCCGAGAAGCGACGCAAACGCCCGAACACTTTGAACCTCGAACCCGACTCGGGTTTGGGGGTTGGGCGTGGCTTAATGGGGGGGTCACAAATGGGGGGGTCAGAAAAGGTCCCCTTTCGTGCCCCTTTCGGGCCCCTCCAGAGCCCCAGGGGTCTCGTTTAGGTACCGTTTGGGTACCTTTTCGGACCACGCTCGCCACCCCCCCATTTATGACCCCCCCATTACGCAGCGCCCAAGGGGGGTCCTAACACGGGTCTCCGGCGGCCAATTCGGGACGTTCTGGGCATCCCCGGAAGGCCCTCGGCGAGGCGCAGCCGCTGGCAGGCGCACCCCGGGGCCAGAGGAGCGCCGAGGGCCGACGAGGGCGCCCGACAGCCTCGAGCCTCGCAGCCCTGCTCCCTCGCGCTTCCGGTCGGGCACGTCCCTGCAGCCGGGCTTCTTGGGACGAAAAGTAACGAACACCCCAGAGATGCTCTGGAAAAGGGGCAAAAAGTAATAATAAAAAAGAACCGCCCTCCCCAGACCATGTTGGGACTGTTCTTGTAGACTCCCCCCTGTAGAGGGACCTCCTCCAGCTGAACTCTCGCCCAAAAGGGGCAAAAAATAATAAAAAAGAATCGTCCTCCCCAGACCATGTTGGGACTGTTCTTGTAGATTCCCCCTTGTGGAGGGACCTCCTCCAGCTGAACTCTCGCTTCCTTTGGAGTCCCGAAACGGTGCGGTGACACACCGTGCGGTGACCTCGAAATCCCCCAAGACCTCACCGCACGGTCCGTCACCGCACGGTCTTGGGACCCTGGAGGCTCCTGTCGCCCGAGACGTCCTCGGAGCACGACCCGAGTCCCAAAACCGTGCGGTGCCCCCGAATCCCCACCGACTCACCGCACGGTGTGGTCACCGCACCGTTTGGGGACCCCCGAGCTTCCCCTCCCCCCCGCCCCTCGCTCGCCGCGCCGCCCTGCGGCCCCGGGGGGGGGGGGCGCGAGAGCACGCCCGCAGGGCGTGCCTTCGGCAGCGCGGCCTCGCCTCCGTCCACCTCGGCCGGCTGCCTCCGCGGGCGGGTGGCGCCGCCCCGCCCGGCCACCCCCTCCGTGCCCATGCCGCGGGCCCCAAGAGCACACCACCACCACCACCACGCCGGCTCCTCCCTCCCTCCTGCCACTCCTCGTCGTCCTCTCCTCCTGCCTGGGAGAAGGAGGGGGGGGGCTGAGGGGAGGTGGTGGAGGTGGTGTACACCCTGCGAAATGCTTTAGAAATCATGGGTTAAGAAATTCATAGTCTCAGAACTTGAATAAAAACCCAGAACTTCTATCAAAATCTTGGGATTTACATTGAAAAGTTCAGAATAATCGAGACTCTGGACGAAAACTTAGGTTTTCTTAAGCATCGCCTAAGGTGTACACCTCTGGGCCCTGTGCACCCACCCACCCGCACAGGTGCGCAGCGGGAACACTGCTCTCCTCTCTCCCCGAGTGTGTCCCGAGAGTGGCCGCCGCCCCCCCCCCCGCTTCGCGTGCGGTCGGACCGAGGCATCAGATCGAGGTCGGCTCGGGGAGGATGCCCTGCTGTTCTTCGTGCTTGCGGGGTGCTGCTGTGCATCCTGGAGGAGGCTACAAGAGGCCCCCAAGAGGCTCCCCAGAGGCCCCCAAGAGGCCCCCAAGAGGCCCCAAGAGGCTCCAAGAGGCCCCCAAGAGGCCCTACGAGGAGCCCGAACGACTCACACCAGGACGAGGGGCCCGAACGACTCACACCACGAAGAGCCCGAACGACTCACCCTCGCATCTTCTTCAGCTTGGCCAGCGGAGGGTCTCATGTCCTTGAGGAAGGTTCGTCTGTCCTAGGTCCCGCCGTACTTGCTTTTACACACATATTGCGCGGCCGAGTTTTTCCGTCGTGTTTTCTCCGTTCGGCCCCTCCGCGTCTTGTTGTTTAATTGCTATTGATATGGTTTGTACCATCCGATTGCATAAAATTTGTCACAAACGGTGCGCTAGCAGCAGCGTGGGCCCCATTTTCGAATCGGAACTGTGCACCCGTTGTTCATAATGACGCTCCCGCGCTAACGTGGGCCCCTGTTCTGGACCCCACAGCTGTCACAGGACCCAAAACTGTCGCAGGTTACCCCACAGGTCCCACAGGTCCCACCAGCCTGGCAGGTTCCACAGGTCCCACAATACCACATGCGTCGCAAGTCTCGCACGCCTCACAGGTCTATCACGTCCGACAGGTCCCACAAGTCCCAGATGTGTCGCATGTCGCAAAGATCCCACAGAAATCCCGCAGGTCCCGCAGGTCCCGCTGCCAACACGGGTTCCAGAGGTCTCGCAGGTCTCACATGTCCCACAGTTCCCACAGGTCCCACAGGTCCCACAGGTCCCACAGGTGTCGCAAGTCTCACAGATCCCACAGGCCACAGAGGTCCCCAGGTACAAGTTTCTTTTCTCCGACTGCGTATAACACGATGGGGTCTTTTGTGGAGTTCCAGATCGGCTATGACACTCGTCCGCGGAGACAGCAAAACCAGCACAATGGGAAAGAAGGATGGGGGGGAAGGATAGGATGTCAAATGTGGTGCGGCCGCACCTAGCTTGTCCTTCTTCCCTTTTCCCTCCCCCTGCTCCTCCCCCCAGTTATGCCCTGCTACGACATCCGACTGTGCGAATAGAGAGGAGATCTACGCCATGGTAAGGGATGGAAGGGAGGGGTAGGACGTCAGAAATGACTCGAGCGCACCTCGCTTGTCCTCCCCCCTCCCCCTCCACCCCTCCTCCCCCTCCTCGCCCTCCTCGTCCTCCTAATCCTCCCCCTGCTCCTCACATCGAGGTCCAAGTTGAACGCTGCCATCCCCCCCTCCCCCGACTCCTCCTCCCCTCACCTTCCCCCTATTCCTCCCTCCCTCCTTCTCCCCCTCCCCCTCCCCCTGCTCCCCCCGCCCTCATCCCTTCACAGTTCAGACACTAAAGCTGTCCTTTCGGACGAGGCCCCTCGGACAGCGCAAGAAGGTCGTGTACGAATGATGTGCTCTCTTGAAGGGCAATCGCTTCCACCAGCAAGGACGACATGGTTGCAGACGTTCATGTCCCAGCCATGGGGTATGCTACAAAGCTGCCGTGGCATCATTGCTCAACAATTCAAGCCTGTGCTGTGGAACACAACCCTGTGCGAGTGCCGCCATCTGAATGCACCGCTACGTTGCGATAGTATACAGTAAAGCTCTGGAACTGCCATGGAAGCGTTTTGGACCAGCTGCGGCCCTCATGCATAGTGCAAGTCACCGGACGATCAACTACTAATGCTACTAATGTGTCCTACGCCTGCGCCAGCACACTGGGCCTGGACACGGGCGGGAATCGCTCCAGCCTGTCTCGATGATGTCAAGCAGATTCCGGCAAATTCTGATGTTCAGGGATATGCTCGTCGGCCAACGACGACACACCAGTGGCGACTTGCTGAAAGGGCAAGCACACGACCACGAAAGCAAAACAACCAGATTCGTGCCGTCAATTGCGATAGTCATCAACATTTCCATCAACGGAATGAGCGCGGAGGCGCGGGTCTAGGTCGTAAATGCTCTTACGTGAAAATACGGGCGCCTTCTCGATAGCCCTCCGGACTTTCTCCCCGAGGGTCGGCAGACACCAGGCGTTGTAGACTGCGTCAACGAAGTAAGACAATGTTGGCTTCCACTCTGACCACCCACGACGGGAATGACTCCCGTAATGTGATGCGTGCTGCATTGGGATGACCATGGAACCCAGGCAGGAGTGCCAAAACCAGAGTGTCGCTAAAGACATCCACGCGATCGAGGCGCGAATCGGCAAGTGTACCATACCTTGGCAAGTTAGCCCTGGGGTGCCCAAATATCATGAGTGCTATTTCAGGTGGTTGTTATGGTTGCTGCTATGTCGCATTGAACGCACGGTTGTCGCTTATAGCCTTCTGGGATTGCTGCCGGTATGGTCGTTGCGTCTGGTCGCAGTCCGTTGTTCTTTGTTGCTCTGGTGTCTGCTTGTTGTATGGGTGCTAGTGTGCCTGGTGCTAATGCGGGTACCTGCTGCATGTAGTACTGGCTGCATACTGCCACTCTAAATACCGGAAGTCAGTGGGCAATATTTGTCATGTGTGAAATTGTTTTTGACAGCATAACCAGCTGCTCCCCTCCACTGTGTTAACGATGTCGTCTGGTTGTGGGTGTTTGTTTGTGCGGTGAGCTCTCCTTCTCTCCTATCGGAAGAGGCGCGCATCCACATTCTCTGCGGATGCATGCCGCTTGCCGCCGCGGTGGCATTAGTGCTGCGTCGCTGCTGTCGCAGCCGAGCTGGCGCACTGGCTGTTGCCATTAGTAGTACACAAGTTGTCGCTGAAGTGGATGTGCTCTCTGCCTTTGGTATGTCTACTGGGCCGTTGCAGTGCTTAGGCGCATCGTGGCGTGGGCGTGCCCAAGCCATCCCGCTACGTCTCACGGCCTCTGTGCGTCTTGGTGTTTGTTAGTGGTGTTGGCTGGCAAGTTGATCGTGTGTTACCAGTCTTGTTATTTATTTGAATCGGCGTGGTCTGAGCTCCCTCGGGTTGCCAACTCTCTGTGCTATGACTCGAAGTTGTTGGTCTGTGACGCGGGCTGCACGTTATAAGACATGTATTATGTGGCGGTGCGATCTGCTTGATTGCGCGCGGCGTTTACCTGCGCTGTCGTGGCAGGCACAAGTGGGCCCCCAGTTTCTGCTTGGTAGAACAGGTGGCCGCTGGCGAATGCGTCGGCAAGTCGCCTCTCGATGTCTGTCCCGATGTAGTTGTGATGAAGGTAAACTTTATCAAATGGTGCTAGAGCAACACTTTGTCTGTGATCTGGGAAGATGCAAGGGTCGCGGCCGTGCATGCTGGGTTGATGCGGGTGCCGAGGTAGTCGCAGATGTTCGCGATAGTGATGTGTAGACCCCATGTGGGGCAGTAGACGGTAGGCAGTGGTTGAATGTGTACTCTCTGCTTGGCTTGGTCGGTGCCTTTGCCTGCTAGATGCCCTATGAAAGCTGACTCGCACGATTTGCCGTCTAGCTTGACTCCGCCGCTGGTGGATACAGCGTGCGTCGTCGTTGCCATGTCAGCCATGTAGTACACCAGGAGGTCATTGTCACTGGGCTGGGCCGTTATGAGCGCGTCTCCGAATGCGACGCTGGTTGAGTAGTCGTCTTGCGTGGGGCCTGTGGTTCGGCACGCCGAGAGCAATGATTCTGCTGGCCTTGGCAGTCGGATTGCGCGCGGTTGGGCAGTGCTTCTGCTCGCTGAACCGTTGCTCATGTAGACCGAGCTGTAAATTGAGAGCGATTGCTCGCGAAGCGCGAGGACCTCTAGAATTCGAAGACTTGGGCTGCAAGGCGTTCGTCGCAGCGGCGTGCTTCTAGCACACCAGGTTGTCTAAGCATTGCTCCCGCCAGCGGCATCAGCGCCGGCGGGGATTTCTGGTTTCGGCAGCATTCTCAGCAGTCGGGATGTGCTTCGTGGCCGAAGACTGGTCCTCTAACGACTATGGAAGGCTGCTGCGAGGTCGACGCAGCATCGCACGGAGCTGATCTTGTTTCTCGGGATGTAGCTGGTGACGAGAGCGGCCGCGCGTGCTGCGAAAGATATATCGGCCTGCCTGGAAGTCCCCCATATTGCGTCGGTCGCAGCGCATCTGCGAGTAGTGAGCACGGCCCTGTCGTAGGTCTGCGCAGTGCATATGAAGAGTATACGATGCAAGCAACACTGATCAGCATTGAGCAGCCTTGCTTGGTGCACCTTGGCCTTTGCGTAGCGGCATGGCCGCGCCGCGTTTTCATGAGAAGTCCTTATTGAGTGAATACGGCCTTCAAAAACAGTGGGCCCACGTGTCCTGCAAAACTCGCTGGCGCTGCCATATGCAAGTCGGTCGCGATCCTGCCGGGCCCCAGTTCCTCGCGGGGCTCAACGTCATTTTCATGAGCGCCGTTGTTTCTGGCAGCGAGATCATGCAATCCAGTGCGACTGGCGCAATTGGTATGTTGAGTGCTGTTGTGGTGCTGAAGTGCGCCGTCAATGTCCGCGAGCGCGGCTACTTCTCGCCGTTCAAGGTGTCTCGTGAACTCATCGCCTTCATGGTCGAGGTTTCCTAACGCCCGCCCACCCCCCCGCTGCGTCTGCGAAGAATGGCCCATGCTTTAGCTGCTCTTTTCCCGGTGGCTGGTCCGCATCGCAGCGCACCGTTTGCGCGTTGCTAAACAGCTCTTTGCTCGCGCATGTCGTAGATGCGCTGGAAGTCGCTGGATAGCGCTGCTACGTGATCGGCGCGGTCTTGCATGAGTCGCCGGGCAAAGGGCGTTCTGGCTGCGGCTAGGAAATGCAGCGCTGCTAGCTGGGCGTCGTAGCGTTGGTCGGCGGTAGCAGTACATTGTGCTAGGTGAACCTTGTATATGTGCTAGTCTGTTGGTCTTCCTGTGAGGTACTGTGCAAACACGTCGTTGAGCTTGCATCGCATACCGGCAGCGCCCACATCCCCGCTCGGGCGCGGGACTGCCATGGCGCGTCGCCTGAGACGCACGAGCTTCACGGTCTCAGTGGGGGCGTGAAAACGAACGTTGGGAAGAAATGCGCCGCTGCTGCGTGGACTGCGTTAGTTAACGTTCGCATCCTGGGTTGGCGGCGGCTGGCTGCCAAGTCGGTTGGCAAAGTGGGCGTGCCTGTTCGGGTCTTGCATCTTGACTGGATCATATGGGGGCGGTTGCTTCCTTGTTGATGTGATACGTGGTCGCTCGTGCTCAATAGCGCGGTAGAATGGTCTTCGTCGTTGGCTCCTCAGTGTCGCGGCGGTGGTCGACATGTAGGTCAGTAGTGCATGGCAGCCAGTCGCTGGCAACCGCAGCGCAGCGATTTCTATGCATGGCCAGCTTGCCATTATCTCTTCGTTGTCAAGTGCGCGCGCATGCGCGCGGGGCACGACTACGTCAGCGCACGCGAGGCCGCGAGCCGCTATAGTCAGCCGAAGTTGCCGTCTTCGTCTGGTTGGCGATGTGCTCGCGGTGATACGTTGCCAATGCCTGGCAAACTGTCGGCGTCGATCCTTGCATTAAAGTCTGCAAGCACAACGGCGGGGGGAAATGGGCCGGCCAGGCCGCGACGTGCCCCCGACGATTTAGCCATATCCCTGGCGCCACGTTGCACATGAAGCGCGAGAGCGCGACGCACATCGTTTTCGTTTATGTGGCGCTCTCAGCGCAGTGATGAGCAGTCGGCGAGATGAATGCGACACTCTGAAGTGCTTATACTTGAAGTAAAGCTGTCGTTTGGGCGCAGTGGCGCACGGCATTGCTGCGCTGACACACACAAGGCACCCTAGTCTGGATGGGGGCTGTGGTGCAGCGAGCTGCATGCATGCTCCCGCCGTGCTGCGGTCATTTCGCGCTGTCGTCTCTTCTCTATTGTACGCCCATGATGTGAACGTCTGTAGCAGTGCCCGTGTTCGCAAGCGTTGCCCTCTCGTTAGGTAATAGAGCGTGTGCTTGTCGCGCTGTAGGTCGTCGCTTGCCGCATCCGCACTTGCCCCATGTGCTGCGGGTGCTGCTAGGGGCGCATATCTGCGTTGGTATGTTCGCCGGCTGCAGTAGTGAGCGGCGCAGGTTGGTGTGCAACGTGGGTCTGGTGGTGAAAGCCGTCTCGCTGAACCATCGGATAGGCGAGGTAGTCGGTGGCGGGGTCCTTTTGGCGCATGGTCCATGATAAGTGTGTGTCTGATATACTGGTAGGTATTGGTGTCGTGCTTCGGGTTGAGGACATCCAGAGTCGCTCTCGATTGCTGCGCATGTGTTAGAGTTGTCTGCGGCATGCCTGTTTTGCTCGTGCGCCTGCAAGCTTATTCCATGGATGATCGTCGTGCCCATGTATGTGGCACATGGAAATAGTGTTGCTTGCGCGCTTGATGGAACAGAACTTGCGCCTTCATTGTGTTTGGGTCGTCGCTGTGCGCGATCTGATTGAATACGCGGATTGCGTTGGCCGGGCCTGTGTGTATTTACCTGAGTAAGTGGGGCGGTTGCTGCGTAGCGCACAGTATTGTCCAAATGATGGCTGCTAGCTCCACTTCTGTGCGATCGAGCTGGTCTGCGTCGATGTCGCTGTGGATGCTGCTCGTGCTACTGCCAGCGCAGTATCCGTGCATGCTTGGTTTGTGGTCGTCGTACTAAAGCACTACGAATGCCCATGTTGAGTCGGCCTTGGTGGTTTGCAGTCAACCATACGGGGTACATGAGCAATGTGGAGCATGTGGGTACTGGTCGGTTGTACAATGAGAGCGCTGCTTGTACAGCTGGGTGGAATGCGATGTCGAATAGGTCGCGTTGTAATGCAATGTTCCTGCTTGCGCCCTGCAAAGAGGCAGGGAGACCCGTTGGGCTGTCTTGTCGGAGGTGATGACAGCACTACTCAAAAGGGCGGCAGAGAGGAGTGCGTCGCCTGCCTTGCTATCTGGGTACCTTGTACACCTCATCTGACTTCCTTGTGGGTCAGGCACGGGATTCCGCAATCTAGAAGCACTGGCCCACTGGGTCCTGTCAAGAGAAGTTTGGTGGGTCAAACTGCTGTCTGCCACTAGGGCGAAGTCGGCTGCTGACTGGGGGCCTTGAAGTTGTTGTCGGCATTGCGTCTAAATCGTCGGTGCTCTCGTTCACGGTCGGCGAATGCTGCGGTGCATGCCTAGGTGGTGTATGACACGCTTGAGGCCGATCACCAGGACTCGACCTTCTTGTGACTTTGCGCTGATTTGCCAGTGGTTGCACTTCAGCAAACTGTTGGAGCGCCTCGTCTTGTTCCGCTGTCTTTTGTTGCTGTGGTGTCGTAACGTATTGCGGAGTGTCGCCCATAGGCAGTGAGTGTGCAGTCGCTGCTCCTCTGCGTTCTGATGGTTGTGGTTGTGGTGCGCCTGTTTGGACTCTGTCGGTGTGATGGGAGGTGTTTGCTGCTGCGGTGCTGTGGATGAGTACTCCAGATTTCGTAATAAAAGGGAGGGGGTCTGGACCCTCCAAGACAAGCCACTTCAGACCCCCCCGTGGGAGAACCCTCCAAAACACCGTCCCCAGACCCCCCCAGGCCCTCCAAGATAGCCTGGAAGAGACCCCCCCCCGAAATGAGACCCCCCTCCCTTTATTACGAACTCTGGAGTAGTGTTCCGTCGGTGTGATTGGTGGCTCGGGTGATAAGTCGACTTGTAGTGGTAATGTTGGTTGTTTTGGTGGGTTCGGTATGTCGAAGGAGTGCTGTCTTGGTATGCGCGTGTTGGCGTGCGTCGTCGTTATGTCGTCCTTCTTGCCGTGGATGTCGTCGAGGTCGCCGAATATGAGGCACTCAAGTTCGTCTTGCAAGCGATGCACCTTGTCTTCCACTCGTGCTTGGTGTAGTTGCCGACGTTGTAGCTCTTTTCTGTGATTATTCTTCTGTGCGTCTTTCGTACTCGGCCGTTCGGCCGTTCAGGGCGAGCCAGGCACCCGTTCGGGGCGAACCAAGCAACCCCCAGAACGCTCTCGGGGAGGCGCAGCCGCTGAGAAGCCACCACGACGCTAGAGAACAGACGAGAAGCTACGAAAGCGTCCTCCTCCTCCTCCTCCCTCCTACTCCTCCTCCTCCTCCTCCTCCTCCTCCTCCTCCTCCTCCTCCTCCTCCCCTCCCTCCCTCCCTCCCTCCCTCCTCCCCCTCCCTCCTCCTCCCTCCCCCTCCCCCTCTTCCCCGCAACTGGCGGAGCGCAGGACGAGAGGCGGGCGGGCGCGCAGCACTGTTTCGCCTCTTCGCGGCCCAGGTCAGCGCTTCTTCGACCCCTTGGGCTTGAAGTTGTTCGCGTTGGGATTCCGCCGGCCGTAGCCAGCCACCACGCGGCCGCCACCTGTGGGACGCAGAAGGACATACCATTACTACACCCTGCGAAATGCTTTAGAAATCATGGGTTAAGAAATTCATAGTCTCAGAATTTTAATAAAAACCCAGAATGTATATTCAAATCTTGGGATTTACATTGAAACATTAAGAATAATCGAGACTCTGGCCGAAAACTTGGGTTTTCTTAAGCATCGCCTGGAGTGTACCATTACTATGTGTCCTCCTCGGAGGCGCGCGTCCGACCCGACGACACAGTACACAAATCGTGCAGCATATCGTTTCCCGAACGGTACGGCCAGAAAGCGCCCGACACGACGCATGCACTCTGAGACTTCTCGGTGCGCGCGTCGCCCCTGGAGGGGCGACGCACACATGAATCGTGTGCTGGAGTAACGCCAAACGTGTGTGAGAAGGACGCGAAGAAACGAAAGGAGGAGGTGGAGGGAGGACAGGATGTTACATCAGATTCAACGGCGTGCTGCGCGCGGGCTCCACCTCATCCCTCGCCAACTCTGCGTGGCCGGGCGCTCGGTCCTTCCCAAGCGCACACATGTACTCCAGGACCGTGCGCACGAGCGCCAGAGGTGCGGAGGGGATCAGGAGGAGGACGGGAGGAGCAGGGGAGAGGGCTTCTGCCCCCAAAAGAGTGCTCGCACGGAGGTGCTCGCACCTGGCCGTCCAGGAGTGACCGGATGGGTGTCCCAGGCCTGCGCCACCTCGGCGCCCTCGCCCGCGCGTGGGCGCCACGTGGGTGCCCCGCACGCCGGGCGGGTTTCCCGAGGTTTCGCCTCGTCGGCGCCGCGCCCACGCCCGATCGTAGCCGCCTCGTGGGCGCCGCGTCCGGGCGGGCTTCCTGGGGCTGCGCCCGGCTGGCGCCCGTGCTGGCTCGTGGGCGCACCGAGGGCGCCCCGTGCGCCTGCGCCACATCGCCGACACAGCGCACGTTGCTCCGCATGGCTTGCACCGCGTATAACTCGCCGAGCACAGCTCACACCGCATGGCGTGCACCACATCGCTTCCGCAGAGTACTTCACACCACCTCCATCAGGCGGCTTAGCCCTCGCCACGCAGCTCACTGCGCACCAGGAATCCCACCGCATGGCTCACACCACATAGTTTGCACGGAAAATGGAGAACACCACAAAATTTCCATTGCACCACATGGCGCATACCGCAAAGCTTACACAACACAGCTCACACCACGTAGCTTACACTATCCATAGCGCACCTCCACAGTGCAATACCACACTTTGTAAGGTCTTCGCTAGCTAGCACGTTCACAACGAGCACACCACAAGCGGAGCTCACCAGCAGTGTCGGACCTGACAGGGTAGACAGCAATAAAAGCAAACTCTGAAAACGTGTTTGAGAAAGGCATACAAGTATTCGTCTCAAGATTCACGGGAGGAGGAAGGTAGGGAGGGACGGGGAGGAAAAGGAAGAGGGAAGAGGAGAAGGAGAGGGACAAACGGGGGCTGGGAAAAAAAGAAGGACAAGGGCCGGGAGTGCGAGAACGAGGAGGGGGGGCGAGAAGGCGACGGATGACGACGACGGGGAACGAGGACGCCGGTCTATCCCTCCCTCCCACCTCTCCCTCTCCTCCTCCTCGTCTTCCTCCCCCTCCTCCTCCTCCTCCTCCTCCTCCTCCTCCTCCTCCTCCTCCTCCTCCTCCTCCTTTTCCTCCTCCTTCTCCTCCTCCTCGTCCCTCCCGTCCTCGCACAGCCAGGAGGAACGGTGGTGCCTATTCCTAGCCGTAAGTGGTTACGGGAATCACAAAGAATCGGTTCCAGAAAAAGGAGGAGGCGGTTTT